TCTCTCTCTCTCTCTCTCTCTCTCTCTCTCTCTCTCTCTCTCTCTCTCTCTTTCATTCTCACTCTTTCTGTCCCTTCATAATTCTCCATGTTTCTCTCCGTCTGCGACTCGGCCCCCCCCCCTCAAATTCCAAAGACATGTACACATCAGCTCGGCGACCAAAGACTACCTGAACGGAGACTACGACCTGGAGCCGGGAGACGGCGCGTCTCGAGACAGTTACATCAAACAGTGCGGCATCGAGACCTATCTCATCAAGGTGGACACGCGCAGACACAAAGTGAGTAAGGTTTTTGTTTTAGGTTGGGGGGGGGGGAGAGGGGCACCACGGAGGAGCCAATTGTCATGAACTTTTAGATGTATTGGTACCGACATTTAAAAAAAAAATGGCTTAACCCTAGACTATTCAATTAAAAAACCCACCACCAAACAAAACAAAATCAAATCAAACAGACAAGAAACATTTTTTTTTTTGGGGGGGGGGGCGATTAACAGACCCCAACCGTGTGTTTTTAGGTTGCAGGGTTATGGTTAAGTTTAAGGTTAAGTTTAAGGTTTAGTTTAGTTTTAGAATGCTTCCACGACTTAACACTGCTGGGTTTTCTATTCCGCACACCACATGTGTCTAAAACAGCAATGATTTTCTTTGACGACCTGTATCTACAATTGCCTTCTCAGCGTGCAAACCTAACAATAAAAGCAACATTATCCTCTGTTCAATCCTGCACACACCATAAGAAATTGAATCAGGCCATACATTTAGCATGAAGTGGCGCCTTACCTTTCAGATAAGAAAATCATTCTTTTGTTCTGTTGATGGTAACCGTGCCTTTCTCCAGGATTTCATAAGGAATTACTTTGCTGATCTGTCGGATGGGTGGCACTATAATCAAAGCATTTTTTTTTCAAAATAAGTGTTGAAAGTCGAGTTGGTCACGTACTCGGTTTTCTTCCCATTTCAGGCATATTTAGGTTACCCCCAAACGCTTTATATTCAAGCAGTTCAGTTTAAACAAATCCTGTTCTAACGAAGACTGCATAGAATTAACAAGAACATAGCTATAAGATTAAGAGTTTTGTCATGATTGAGATGCAACTTCGCAGTTAGTTGGCTGAATATTCCCTTTCTACTTATTCCCTATTCATCGTCAAATATTTTCCTGCATCACTCTATACATGTGGCATTTTTCGTCAAGCAGCCGAAGCCAATCTTTGGCGAGCTTCGCAAGGTTTGTGCCATCGGTGATTTTTCTCCCCTGCGAGATTTCTCTGAATTGGTTTAAACGGTTGGAAGTCTGAAAGAGAAAGATCAGGACTGTGATCCAAAAATCTTTGATTATGTTCTTGGAAGTCAACAGAAGGCCCATGCCCCTTGTTGACATGTACATTTTGGCTGCACCGTTCCAACATTGTCGTGCAAACATCCTTTTTGTTTGTTTTAGTGAGGTTTTATGGCGCTCGCAACTGCATAAGGTCATATGAGCGCCACAACATCCCTTTGCTGTGCCTTGTGGTCATTTGTCAAATGTTTTGGAACCCACCGAGCTTACACCTGCCTGTAACACCTGATTACAGACACAGCTTTGAACTGTTGGCTTACGAAGATCTAGGGCATCAGCAGAGTCACGAAGTTTCAGCCACCTGTCATCACATTTGAGTTGTACAGTGCGTTCGGTATTCTCTCCGTGTTAGTAGGCAGATGGCAGCCTCTAATTTGATGGTAAATCCTTGACTTACTTAAAACATTCACGCCGTAAATACTTTCAAGTTCTGCCTCAATATCGTTGGGATTTTTCCCCGTTTTATTCGAAGTGAAGAAACCAAATTACAGCTTTATTCTCTCTTCTTTTGACCAATATTGTATAGTGATTGCCATCTTTGTTGTTATGCAGTAAAGCTCTTCGAAAAACAGCAGGTAGCGTGATTATTTCATACCGTTATGGTTTCCTTCAATCCTTTTAAGATAGCTATATTTTATCCACCACCACCCCCCCCCCCCCCGCACCAAAAAAAAAAAAACCCAACAAAATTTTTAATCGATAAACTAGCAAGACAAATGTTGATTTTTGTCGTACTCACATGGTCCCTTTACGTCATTGCCGCCTTCCCCCCCCTATAACAGACGGGAAAGATTAGTTGTCTATATGAAAATTCGATTCTAAAAAACATACAGCCTTCATATGCCTGTAATTAGTTGTTAGATACATTAATGAACGTCAGATGGCATTTGCGCGGATTACTTTTGTCAAGAGAACGCGAATATGCCCGTAAGGCCCCACTTCAAACATTACGGCTGATGTTGGATTTGTTTTAAAGACCGGAACTGTTAGGATCCATTTCGACCATTATCTGGACGGAGATATAACAGCTCTTCGTCTGTCCCGTCGACAGGAGGGAAAAACTGCAACAGCCATTACCTTTCTCCTTAAAAAAAGAGCATCCCCAAAAATTGAGTCTTTTTTCGAGTTAACGTTAAAAGACAAGTATTTTTTTAAAATATTTTTTTTACTGTGTACGAAGAATGCAATAAAAATGTTCCCCAAAATATAATAAAATTTGAAAAAACACTTGTAAAAAAACCGGCTCGTTGTGTAACATTGTTTTATGAAACAAACTTTAAAAAAAAAATGCCCCTAATGTTGTGGAATGTAAACATTATTCCGAGACAATGGGTTGGGAATGGCTTTCCACATTTCAAAACCGGCGTGAAAGAAAACAGACATAGTTTTCGTGTGTTGTGTCACTAATTTATTTTTTATGGGGGTCATTTTTTTTTTCGTAACCGAGTTACAGCAAATGAAGAATCCTCAAGCCTTTTTTAAAACACTTTTAAATAAATATCTTCTTACGGTATTATCCCCCCCCCCCCCTCCCTCTTCCTCTTTTGGGAGCTGTATTTTCCTCTATGCCCGGTTCCGTTTGTTTACTCATTAAAATTTTCTTACAATTCAAGCTGTTGTAGGCAAATATTATTCGAATGCTGATTTTTTACATCCGTTTGCAGCTCGCGCGCGCGCGCACACACCCATGCGTATATATGTGCGTGTGCGTGTGCGTGTGCGTGTGCGTGTGCGTGCGCGTGCGCGTGCGCGTGTGCGTGTGCGTGTGCGTGTGCGTGTGCGTGTGCGTGTGCGTGTGCGTGTGCGTGTGCGTGTGCGTGTGCATGTGCGTGTGTACACCGCGCGCGCGCGCGCGCGCGTGTGTGTGTTTTGTGTGTGTGTGTGTGTGGTTATGTGTGTATCTGCCTGTTTGTTTATATTCAGTGCTGAGGATGTGCGTGTGAATTTGTGAATGTATGTCGATCGTTTTTCTTTTCTTTCATGAGGCCTTAGCTTGAAGTATTAAAAGGATGGCGTTGTCAAGCTCTCTTGCTTTTCTGCGACAAATGTTCATAATATAAAGATAATTCTATATGTAACCTTATTTACTGCCTGTCTGACATATTTTATATCCTTGGTGTGCAGTGAAGCCCAAATTTTGTAATTTGTTAAATGCTTGCTTTGGGTGAAGATGGCAGTAGGGTTCTAGAGAAATACATTGTTCTAACTTTACGTTTGTTTTCTTACAACAGAGTTCATATTTTGTGCTCATTCCAAACGTAAATACTCCCTGGTTTAAAAAAAAAACAACGTAAAAAACCCCGACAACAAAAAAAAACACCCAAACAAACAAAGAAGCAAAACAATAAAAATAAAACAAAACAACAACAAAGTACCTTTCTCCTCCTGTTTTGTTTTCCACATCTTTTTGGGGACTATATTATATTATTGATCTTTGCTACAGAAGGAATGCAATCCTGAACAAATTTTCATGACCTCATGGGGAAAAACGAACTTCGTCACAAAATGAAAATCGTGACCATAACGATCTTTAAAGCTTTTACTCGTTTGTTGACTCATAACTATAAAAATATTATTCCTGTAACTTCTGGTTTTATTTATATTGTTATTGGAACAGGAAGTCAAACAAGAATAATAGACCAACAGTCGAACAGAAATAAAGTTATGGGTCTGGCACGCTCTTAAAATTGTTATCCAAACCATTTTCATTTTGTGACTTGTCCTTTTCCCCCGTCGACTCCTCATGAGTGAAGCACAGGGCCCAACCGTTCTTTCGTTTATTTTGGTTCCTTATCGGCTGATTTGGCTTTCTTTTATTTCGTTTCAGTCGGTGCCCTTTGAGTCAAGGCGGGAGCATGGCACGAGCGGTGCTATGAAGCTGATGGGCATTGAAGAGAGAGGACAAGTGTAAATTGCTTTTTTTTTAAATTTAAAAAAAAAACCCGGATTAATTTGGAAAGATCGTCTTGACTACTTATGCAGTGCTGTGGGGACTTAATGTTGCTTTTATTTTTTTTGCGCGAAGATATTGCTCCCCTTCGTGTATTTACTGTGTGTGCGTGCGTGGGTGAATGATTGTGTGTGTGTGTGTGT